AAGTATATTTAGCTATTTTATTTTGTATCCTTAAATATAATATGCTGATGTGAACATTTTTGTGAAATCCCCCTCAAAATTAGGAAATGTAGTTGAGTAAAAGTAAAAGTTGGCTGAAATTTAAAAACTTGAGTAAAGTATAGATACTCCCAAAAAATACTTAAGTACTGTAACGTAGTATTATTACAATACACCACTGTTTTCAGTTAATTGTCAAGCACATGTCTGCTTCAAAAACGACAGCAGGCTGCACTAGCTGTCACCTAGCACTGCTGTTTCACAAATCTTTCCTGAACAGTGCGCTATTCTCAGAACGGAGGGAGCGAAGGGTCTGAACTAATTTCCTTGGGAACAGCTCTGTCTTGCCATATTTTACATGTTCAGTAGTGTGTTCATGTGTGCACAGGTTTGAGACGTTTGCCAAGAACTTCCTGTTTTTGTATGAGCTCCACTGTCAAAAAACCCCATCCCTGCTGTTCGGAAGGTAAAAACAAGTCTGCCTGCACTGCATTTTGCACATACTTCAAATGTTAGGAAAGTAACACCTTTGGACAGAATCATTGAACACTGAGCATTGAGATGTTAGAAATGGAAATAAGTTGTTGTTGTTGAAGGGGCATTGTATCTCTGTCATTAGCATCTAAAGTATATTTAGCTATTTTATTTTGTATCCTTAAATATAATATGCTGATGTGAACACATTTTTGTGAAATCCCCCTCAAAAAAGCACTGCCATGAGATGAGTCCTGATTATAAATTCAACAGGGGCCTTGTGATAGGTAAGACAAAGCCAATCTGGATGTGACGGGAGCAGAACAGAAAGAGAAAAAATATGACTATTATTGCTTAAAATCATCAACCTAGCACACAAATAATTACATATTCCACACATCAACAAAGTGCAATATGCTATTATTTATCCTATACAATGTTCTGTCAAGCAATTCAGACTTCTAATTAAATTTTTTTTCATTGACTAATAAAAATTTGCATTGTATTTTTTGCTTGTTTGTCCCTTGCAATTTGTCACTATATTTTCTTTTCAACCCAAAATAGATTTTATGTTTCCTTCTCAGACAAACTGCCATTTTTGCCTGGGCTTGGTGCTAATTTCATAGCTTCTTCCTCTAATTTCGTTATATTTTGAATTTATGCAAATGCAGAAGTCTCGGGTTTTTTTACAATCAATGAAACAATGAAAGAAGTGTCCTCTTGAGTATAAAATGTACACTTAAATTGTAAATCCGGATTTATCACTGAAACTAAATCATTGACAACACTGTAATCATACAGTCACATATTGCATTGGCCAATACTCACACTGGTTAACTAGTTATTAAAAATTGTAATAGCAAGTGTAAATTATCTCTTCATGGTGAACCATTGTGTTTAAGTTGTCAGTATGAAGTAGACACTTTTGTATGTTGGTACTGTAGGCTGCGCTACAAATAATTATGATCCATCATTTTGATGGACTGGGTTATGTATTTAGATAACATGTATGCTATGTTATCCATTCTGTAACAGTGATAATTAATGCCTTTGTCATTTTCAAATCATGCTGCTGTCAAGTACACCTGGGAAACTTCTGAGTAAGGCATTTTGTAATTCATAACATCATAAAAGTCAAGTTAAAAACTTAACACTAATTGTCCGTCAGCTGAACCATACATCATACCTATAAAATGATAAAATTAATATGTCATTCAAAATTAAAATAGCTTGCAAAATCATTCATTATAATTCACTACAGACTTATACAGATCTCTACATAATATTATAGATCAGTGTTTCCACAATATTTCAAATTGACACAATTATTACTAATAAACTGAATGTGTTTTAAATACACAATAACCATGTTTATTTTTCTATCATCAATAAATCCAATTTATGTCAGTATCATACAATTTATCTAACTGAATATTGCTTGTTTCACAGCTAGCCATTTCTTTTCAAATGCATTTTGAAAATGTTTATTTAAATAAAATCAAATAGATGCAAATAGTTAATAATAAACTATGCCATGATTTCTGAGTGCAGAAATGTTAACTGTTTCTTACCAGTTGCATTTATGTATGATATAAGTTTAGTTTATGTTAAAACTGTAATCCAAATGAATGGAAGTTTTATATTCAAATACATAAATCCTAAATTTAGGCTTACATATTTATGCATTTTTTGGAGTTAGCTTGTGAACTGCCAACATACAAAGCCGTGCAAATTAATGTCAGCTAAAGATTTGCTACGGTTTGTGGTGATGTGGTTTTCAATAGCATTCTATGTACAGTTAACATCACTGCCAAGCAGTAAAAAAAAAAATCTGTAATGCTGTCACTCAGACATTAATAAACACCATTGTTATATTTCCATATTTTGCGGTGATGTTTAGGCCTCCTCCGACTACCCCCAGAGTCTCAAAGATATTGGCAGAAAGCTCTGGAAAATCAAACAGCCACCCCTGCAGAAAAACACTTATGACTATCATCCAGCCCACTCTTTCTGCCGCTCTATTGTGTTTGACCGTGTACTGTCTGTTTCTCATATAAAGGCAACGTGCAGTTTCACTACTTCAAACTCTTTCGTGGATGAGGTTGTAATACTCATAGTTCAGACAACAAAGTATTAACCACCAAGAAGGACATTTTCATTGCTGAGGTTGCTCCATTATAGCTCAAGAGACTTTGGAGTTCTCAGTTATTTCTCATTTCATCTCAGATATTTCTAAAATACCCGAGAAGAAAAATATCCATTTGCTCTCTATTTAATCGCATTGCTGTCTGGGAGAAACAGTTCAGATACTAAAGAGATCTCATTTGCAATTTGTATTTTCTAAGGGCACAGACACTAAATCAGATTGCTATTTTCGTGATCCATACTTATCTGTTTTCTGGGCACGTAACTGTTTATCTGGATTAGCTAGATTATTTTTCCTCTGTTTCAACAGAAAACAGAATTAATAAAAATGATCAAACCAGAAGAAAACAGCAAACAAATGTTTCTCTTTCCTTTTAGTAAGCTGTTGAACACCTCAGCTGTTCTAAACTACATCTGCTGAAAATTCAATGGTGATTTGTGAGCCTAAAAATTCATCAGTATTGAAAAACTAATTTCTCACCTGTGCATTTTATAGGCTAATTCTGCTGCAACCAAGCTTGTTGTGTTCTGGGAATCATTATGCTTCCATAACCTCTTTCCTGTCTTATTCAGCACCTTCTCTGCTGGATCAGGTGTTGCAGCATGCACCTTCTATGACTTATTGTTCACCCTTTTCTTGTCCTTTACCATCTTGAGTGGCATCATCAGCTCTAGTGCTGCTCTCTGAGGATATGAGAGCACTACAGATCCTTCCATGTCACACCTGAAACCGTTCAGTTTCCTTTCTCTCTAAATATTACATCATCTAACTTATCTTTTATTAATTTGACCATAATATTCAGTTAATTTTGAAGAGTTTATTTGGTCAGCGTCATCATTGCCTCCTGAAAGAAGCTACACAAAGGGGTTTTGCAGGGCATTTTTGAAACAAGCTGGCCATGTCAAGATAACCTGTATTCTACTGAACATTAAAGAAGAACATTAAAGAACACTGCCTTCCTCATCGGGTCGACGAGTGGGAACATGACTATAGCAAAGAGCTTTTTTCACACGTGTAACAAATGTGTGATATATTTTGTGCACCAGTGCCTAAAAAAATATTTTGAATGTTTTTGCATTCGGTGTCCCTTCGTCTAGAAATTCTTTGAATATTCTGCTTTTAAATAGTTATAGACATTTAACAAAAACATTGCACTGAAACATTTAAACTTACATTCATCAGTGCTAATCTTAGCTTAGTGTCAAATTTCCTTCTCAACACATTATTTAAACTGTATTATTGCACACCTGTGTATAGGCCAAACATACAGTACATACAAGCGGCATATATTACATAGCAAATCTCAACTCTGTGATTTTTTATTTGGTCACAAAATGCAACTATATTATCAACCAACTGTTTATAGCTGAATATATAAGTATGTCCAACTTTTTGCATACATACAGTATACTCATGTAGGGTGATTTATATACAGGTATATATATATATATATATATATACTTACTGTATATATATACACTGATGAGTCTTTACATTATGGTAATTGGAGGACCTGCTGGTACCGGACACCCCATGAGACCTATTGCCACCTCATCAAATCAATGCCTCGCCGCGAGGCTGCTGGGCTAAAGGAGGTCCTACAGGTTATTGGTCATATTGTAATGGCTCATCAGTGTGTGTGTGTGTGTATATATATATATATATATATATTTATTTATACACAGTATGTACAGGTCAGGGGTCATAATTGTGAACATGAGTCATTACATTATGATCACCCCCAGCCTAGAGCAATGATTGCACCTGGCAACCAAATGGTGCTGCAGGTGCAGTTCACAGAGCAGTATATATACCACCCAAGGACCGGCTTTCAGTCAGTAGAGTGTTCAGTGTCAGAATGGGAAAAGCTGCCGATTTATTGGACAAATTGTGATGGCATGGCACCTCGGAACTTCAATCTCAGAAACGGCGCATCTTGTGGGTTGTTCACATGCCGCTGTAGTGCGTACGTATTATAGTGTGTAGTGCATACGCATTGTTCACAGTGACCGGAGGGCCACAGTGTGACAAATCACCAGCAGCCACAACAGTGGTGACCAGGGCAATGTGTCACAGCACAAAGTTCATCGCAGCCTTCTGCGTATGGGCCTGCGTAGTCGACCACCCAGCCGGGTCCCCATGCTAACTGCACGCCATTGCCAACAACGCATAAAATGGGCCCAAGATCATATATATAGGTCAGGGATCATAATTGTGTACATTTTTATCATGTTATTTTGTTTAGAATTAACCACACTAAATGCATTAAACTGACCGCCCTAATAAAACACCAACATAGAAGAGAACCAATGTCACAGTCACTCCACTGATGCAGGTGATCAGAGCGAGATAGGCAACTCACCTGAGGTGACATCCCGTGACAAAGGTAAAGGATGGGAATGTTGTCAGTATCTGGCCCTTGGTCGAGACACAAGTCAGTCTTCAGAGAGTTTCTCAGCTGAGAGAAAAATAAAATTGACGGTTTAGCATCAGCAGAATTAAGTGGTCAATCAAGTGCATGTCATTTTTTGCTGTCGTCCCTCTCTTTCACATACAGCAGATAAAACTCAAGGCTGTTTCTCACTTGCATCGTAATGCGGTTCAATTCTCTTCCCAATTACAGGTTCTAATTATAAAATTCATTTTCATAAGTGTATGCACACTCATGAATCATCTAAATTACATTCCAGCCAAAGTCCTTGGTGAAGTAAAAGAGCTGTACTTTCCCGCCTTCCACGAATAACTTGAACTCACTGCTTTTCTGTTTACCTGATTTTACCTCTAGAGTATAAAGAGCCTATTAGTAAAATCATTTCATGCAGAGCCTCAAAAACTATTTTTCTCCATAGACTTCAAAGTGTATTGCAACTGTTACGTCTAATGAAAATAATGTCTAAACACATGGCTGTATCGGTGACAACAGAATTCCTAGAGGAGGACTTCAATGGATTGTATCTCTGTTTTGGCATTTTCCGTTGGATTCAGCTGAATACTGCTGTGCCTTTTATCACTGCGTGCTGAATTTCCAGCCAACATGATTGACAGGCTCATCAAATGCAGTCACTCAGAGTAAAGTAATGAGGGCGAGAGCTATTTCTGAGCCCTTTACTCCCAGAATTCATTTCAATAAGTCTGACCTATTTTCCACAGTTTCTTCCTTTTAAATTGCACCTATGAAAACACATGATGAAATCAAGCACAGAATGATCACCTCAGCCAGACAGCCTGTTTCTGCATCAATACTGAGGAGTCAAGTGCATTATTATTTAGTCTAGTAGGAAATAAAAAGCGAATGAATTGTTAGGACTTGACTTGCATGGCTAATGTAAACAGTACGGGTGAGTCGCGCTTCGATGGCTAGCGGTGCATTGTGCAGGCATCATTTTGTCAAGCAAATTGGAAAATCCTCTTCAGACGCCTTGGACGGAACAGCGAGTGGGTGTCACACGTGGCGAGCGCTGCTCTCAAATCCAGCCTCAATGGTACAATATCTGGGCATTCACAATGAGCTGTAGCTTATTCAGCACTCACAGGAGTCACGGTTAAAGCATTAGCCAGTGTGAAGAGAAACTGTCTTGCAACTGCCACTGCTCTGACTGGACTAATCTTTTCACATGCAGGGTTTTATTACAACACAATTTGATTCCAGATAACACTGCACTGCTGGGAAATGAATCTATCTGACAAAATATACAGTTATTTGCACAGTATCTGAACTCTTTATTTGCTCTTTTCATGTGCTGAGCATTTCGATCTCGACGCAGCGTCTCGTTCCCTCGGGGAACCATGGTTACATACGTAACCTAGAGACGTTTTATTTGAACTGAATACATTAACATGCCAGTAAAAATCAAAGTAGTTATGGTAACTGTCTTTTATCATAATTAAGTGAACACAAGGGTAATATTAAATATTTTCATTATTTTGGTTTGAGCAGATGTTGCCATTTTGAAATGTCCCTGGTTGCTATGCACTAACATCTAACAACTGGTACTTCATTAAGGAACTGTATTTTCCTTTCTAAAACTGAGATGTTTCAATACAAATTTAGTTTTAACTATAATACATTTATAGGTTTTTCCAATGTCCTTAATATCATTTCCAGTATTTTGTAATTTAAATAACAAAAGCTAGTTTCTTAAAGGGATATTCCACTCAAAATGGAATAAGATATTTTGAAGAATGTTGCTAACTAAACATTGGTTTTGGTTCCCATTGACTTCCACTGTAGGGACAAAAAATTTGGCTATTAACATTCTTCAAAATATCTTCTTTCGTGTTCAGCAGAAGAAATAAATGCACAAAGGTTTGTAATGACATAAGGGTGAGTAAATTGTGACAGAATTGATGCTATTTCCACTGCATGTTGTACCTACCAATGACCTTTAGTCATGACTATAATCATAATACCGTACAACCTTTTGTCCTCACAAGGAAGGAAGAGATTATCAGACTGGAGATTTAAAATCAGGCTGAATTGCCATATTATAGCAGTGATTTAAGAAAATACAGCATTGAGCTCCATACCTCTGGATCTGAAATAGCAAAGAGCATCTCAGTTCATGTTGCTCAGCACACTAGAGTCATGTCTTTGTTCCTGCATCAACAGTCACTTCCCTTTCTCCCTTTCCCTCCTCTCAACATTCAGCTTGGGTCTGGGAATCAGCTGCAATCTCACAACGCCTTCCGCTTTCACCAGATCTTAATTGCTGTCTCGCTGATAAATGCACAAGCAGGGCCAAAGCTCCCTAAATAAATGGAGCACTGTAACATATGGTTGGAAGCAGAGCTGAGGGCTGGAGAACTATAAATTAGGTAATGGCTGCTTAATAGACAATAACAACTGTATTTCTCTATGCATTCTAATCACTTTTCTACAGTCTTTATAATCAAATTTGCTTTCCATTTATTCAAGTTATGTATGACTGTACAGTACTGACAGTGGGCATAATTTTTGATTTCTGACAACGGAAACAGAGTGTTTATGGGTCACTCCTGTTCCTGTTTTAACTTGGTAACTGAAAGAAAAAAAAAAGAAGAAAAAAATCCTTATGTACGGTAATTTAAGAAAGTACTTCTATAAAAGGGTATATTAGACTTTCAGAAATATGCTCTGTTCAAGCTCAGCCAGAAAGTTGGTTATAAATGACTTTGAGAACTTTTATACTATTTTCAAGAAATATTTAATTGTAATTATTTAAAACATGTAATGTGTTACAACCATTAAGTAAAATTAATAACATAATTTCCTTACACCTTTTATATACGTGAGTAGATGTGAGTACACATTTTTTATTCTTTATTTAAACAAAACAAAAGAACAATGACTACAGATCACAAAAAATGCATTCCAACACATACATGTACCTAAATAATTAAATAAAGAAATACTTGAAAGAAATATTGAAAGAAAAGAAAAAAAAAAAAAATAAATAAAATATCACCATATGCCATTCTGAAACCATTGACAGATTATCAGAGATCCATTAAAAAAACAAAAAAGCTCTTACGGGCAGCATAAGTAAGGAGATTATTCAACTTGCTATTTCATATACTCTGTATATATTATTATCAGCAACACTAACAAAAGATAAAGTGGATAAAGTCAATTAAACATTTCAATTAATAACTCATGCTATTTTTACAAATATCATGAATTATAAATTAATAAGGATATATAAGTGGATAAAAAGAATTAAACTCATTGTCTAGCCTTCCAGCATGTAATAAAAAGCCCTAAAATGATCCAGAATACTGCAGCATACCTTGTCTTCAGTGAACCCAAAAGGGCTCCCTTCACACCTCCTTTCTCTCGCAACACCGGTTGCCAATTTCTACCCACATCAGATTCAAGCCACTGATGTTGCCATATAAAATCTGCACCCTCCTACACACACTCACTTTTACACATCTATGCTTCCTCTGAGACTGCTGGGGTCTGTGAATGAGAGGCGCTTGTGCTACCATAACAATGAGGCACTTTCCAGAACATTCAAGTTCACTGTTCCTTGATGGTGGAATATTGCAAATGTCACCAGAACAATCCTATCCACCTAATTTTTCAATGCGGCAGTAAGCTGTTTTCTGTGAGTGTGCGAGACTTCCAATTCATTAGCCGCTGTAGGGAAATAACGAGAAGAATATCAAAGTGTAGTAAACTGTAAAACTGTTTGCGCTACAAACTAGTGTGCTTATAATTAAGCAAATAATAATAATTCAGCAAATAATACACCTAGAACGTAAAAATATGCAATCTACTCCACTTTACTGCAACACTGCAGATTTAAAAATTGAAATTTGCGGGGGGGGGTTTAGCTAAAATGTTGCACCATGACATATCAGTAACACGTCTTCAAGCGATATTAAAGACACAAGGCAGAGTTCACCTAATTTAAGCTTTCAAATGCAACAAAATTTGCATGAGTTTGCATTTCCAGTCTCCTGCATTCACATGCATATATATATATATATATGGAAGTCAATGGAATTAAAATTTTAGTGTGACCACCCCTTAAATCTTACAGAAACATCTGAATAGACAACATTTGATTATTGACAAATTAATTACAATATAAAAAACAGTACTCCTATGAAACTTAACCCCTAAATCTTGAACTGCAACTTTTCTCCTTTGTCTCCTTTGGATAAATTGTGTTTTGGCATTCCTCATTTATAAGACATGTTGGATAAAAGCATCTGCTACTTAAGCGAATATAAATGTCAACATGACTTTCTAGCAGTATGTACAGTAGCTGATATAATAGACCTCACCTCTTGTGGAATGTTCCAGGCCATGTAGACGTGGCTTTTAAACTCATCCATCCACACTTCAGCCACTCTCAGAGCATTTCTGCGCACGTGGGCAGTGAGATCCTCGGTGTAGGGTTTGTGGGCGCGCTCAATATGGGCGATACGGGCACAGGGCAACACCTCCACACTTCCTCCACACTGCCACACCTACACACACACACACACAAAGAATCTAAATAAGAAAGCATCTTCATGCTGAGAAATAAAAAAGGCACAATTCTTGGCAAGACAGATCTACTCGCTGGACCAGACTGAGGAGCAGATGAAGTGCAGAAGCTTGTATGAAGATCTTGCATAACACTTGTGTCTCTAAGACTAAAGCTTATTTGAACCTCTTAAGAACACCCAAACATGAGACCCTAAAGAGTCTGAAAGGGAATTTAATATACTGTATGTGGCCTGTGCAGTAAATAAGATTTAGGTAATGAATGTACCCAGGCATGTGAACCCTGACTTGGTTCCAAAACCGAGTGAGGCAGCTGTCGTCTATGGCAGTAGCCTAACACAGATGGAAGCTCATAAGTGACTGATTTGGAAAACTCTATATAGACAGCAACTCTGTGCAATATTCAAATAGAGCTTCACATGTGAAGCAGAGTTTAGAGTTAGCATGTTGCTAAGCTAACCATCAGCTTGTCAGACACAAATCAGAGCACACAAATACTGATTAAATAGTAAATTTTTAATGAGATCAAACAATTTTTCAATAGTTCTTAATATTTAATGAATTATACCTTTGTGAAAAAGTAGGCACACTTTAGCATACTTTTAAAAAGAGCACTTATTCCTGAAAGAATATACTTAAGTGCTTTTAAATTAAAATGTATTATGGTTTAAATAGAGTGGTTTTTGACCCAATTACGTAAGACTTAAAAGTCAAACTTACATATTAAGTAATACTTAAGTAATAAGCATATTTTCATGTGTAATTTAATAATTACGTACAGTCAAATGTGCTGACAAGCATTTATTTTAAACTAAAAATACTTTAATGTTTTTTTTTCTGTTGAATCTTGTATGTCATGCATTTAATATATTTGTTATTACACATTGTAATGATGCAGTTGCAATTTAGTACATTTGAAATATATTAACTTTAATATTGGAGAATACAACTACAGTTAAAATTATACTTTACATGCACTTTGGTATTTTTAAACAAGTGTTCTTCTTTAAAGCACGGCAAAAGATTATTTTAAAAATCATGATTTAAAATGTACTTCAAAGTAAAAAAATAATAAATAAAAAGTGTAATCTCTGTATGTATACGTAAAATAAAATGAACATTTTATTTATTTATTTATTTATTTACTCTTAATAATAGACATTTATCTCAGTTTACCAACCATTTTGGATTTATCTGTCACTGAACAGGTCACATATTTATGATGCCTCAAAAACGCCATGGCAGTCAGATAAGTCTTGAAATTGAGCTTACTGTGTATGTCCTGCTGGAAGAAAAAAAAAAAAAACAGGGAATTCTGGCTCATACTATTCACCAGCAACTAGCAACACCATTCAACCTAGTTGAACAGGCTGAATGACCAATGAAGTCTTAGTAGTTTACTAAAAGAGTGGGTAGACGATTTCGGAGAGGTTAGCAATAGCAAGCTAGCTTTGAAAGCATAAGATTCCACCCTCCCTGCATAATCACTCTGCAAAGCCACACCTCCTCCAAAACACATGACACGATGAGAGACGGCGTTGATGGAGGGTTGAATGCACTGCTGTCAGATTACCTCATGTTTCATTCACCGGTGAGAAAACATACAAAGCGCATAATATTAAAATAATAATGCCTTCCATTCTTGCTCGGTCTGCAATAGCATAATGGAATGTGCTGATGACATATCATGTCTGTGTGGAGTCTACAGGGTGTATAGAGGTATGCAAATACATAAGTTGTCAGGCAGGTAGGACAGCCTATCGTAGCCCTCGGACCAAGGGATATGATTGGACGAACATTTTATGGTCCTACATCTTCCACAGACAATATAAATACATACAAATACATTTAGACCATGTAACATAGTGATTGCTATTAGAATGTGAAGAGAATTTCAACCAGCATAACAAAAAATGTTTTTGAACCAAATCACCTACCCTGCTTTTAAAAACTATGTTGGGGACAACAGCACAGCAGTATCCTAATCTGTTCAAAACATAAGAGCGCACTGGTGAAAAGCTATGCTGTATTGTTTTAAAAAATTATAAAGCTACCAACCCAGTCTCATAAAAATACGTACCTCTGGGTACTTTTCTGCAACACCGTTTTTACGTACCTTACTCCACGTTTCAACAAATGCAAAACTGATATAAAAACACATTTTTTGATGCAACCGTGCCATTTTTACTTCCTTATATGCAATTTGAACTGTTTTGTCGAACCGTAGTTACACAGGATTTGAACCGGAGTTCCTCACCTCTTAAGTATGTCTCCGTACTCCGTGAGCTACCGAACAAACCTATCGTCTATGAAAACCCATTAATATGAAGCTGGATATGTGCGGTGCTAACATTCAAAAGCATCAGTTTTCAAATCTCCCAGCATATTAAAAATGTTTTGAAGTCACAACATAATACTCTTCAAGTAATTGTGCGAAAATTACGCTTTATTAATCGAAACCCTGTAAATCATACTTTGTGTGAAAATAATTTAAAAGGTTTCGAAGTTTTACTGCCTCTAGTGTTCATTTCTTTTGGAAACTGCAGTGATATGTACTTATTGGTACGTATTTCGCCTCTCGCGGAAAAGTGCCCCCAGGTACGTTTTTGCCATGAGACCGGGTAGAAAGCTACATAGGGCAAAAGGCTCTTACAACAACAATAAAATATGTACCCAACTACTATCTATATGTAGACAAAACTTCCATTGCCCTGTCAAGATGAGAACTGCATTTTGAAGGCACTGTTATGGTCAGCCAATTTTCAGCAACTACAGTCTGTGGAAAAATATGACAATCTAAGAGGTCAGGACTTCACTTTGAAGCCAGAGGAAAGATATCAAGATTGTGTCGAGTGTATTATGAGGCTGAGCGGGAGAAGCTATCAAGGATGCCCGATATACGCTTCACTCCAGCAGGTGCACTCGTCTCTCAATGTGGGGAGGAAGATGAAGCTGTCGTTATAGCTCAAACAGGACTCCTATCAATGTATTACTCACTTTTAAAGGAGTGTTCACTCCTACAGCCATTTAAAGGTGCCATAGAATGCATTGATACAATATTTTAAATTAAAAGTTAAGGGCAAAAATCTCCAGAAACGGTTTTACATGTCCATTTACAACCCTAGAATGAAATGGTCTGTTTTTACCTTATTTGGAAGGGTCATGAATAATAATGTTGAGCTCTGCTCTGATTGGCTGTTTCACAGTGCGGCTCATTTCAGTAGCTCACACAGCAGGAAGGAAACACAGGGAAAATATATATTTCAATACTGTCTCTCGCAGTTATACAGACCTGGGAGCAAATGAACAATCAACATGGGAAAAGGCACATGGAGAGGGAAAAACACACAGATAAATTCCAGGGGCACAGGTGGGAACTTGGGAGGAGGCTCGGGAGGAGGACGGACATCTGGGAGGGGGCCGGCAGACAGAGTCCAGGGAGTTGACAATGGAGGGAGGAGCCAGGGAGGCGACAGGAAGGACTTCGAGCAGGAGGGGCCAAGCAAGACCCAGGCCACAGCCATGATGGCGGCCCACGGTGGAGCCGTCTGTTTTTACCTTATTTGGAAGGGTCATGAATAATAATGTTGAGCTCTGCTCTGATTGGCTGTTTCACAGTGCGGCTCATTTCAGTAGCTCACACAGCAGGAAGGAAACACAGGGAAAATATATATTTCAATACTGTCTCTCGCAGTTATACAGACCTGGGAGCAAATGAACAATCAACATGGGAAAAGGCACATGGAGAGGGAAAAACACACAGATAAATTCCAGGGGCACAGGTGGGAACTTGGGAGGAGGCTCGGGAGGAGGACGGACATCTGGGAGGGGGCCGGCAGACGGAGTCCAGGGAGTTGACAATGGAGGGAGGAGCCAGGGAGGCGACAGGAAGGACTTCGAGCAGGAGGGGCCAAGCAAGACCCAGGCCACAGCCATGATGGCGGCCCACGGTGGAGCCGACGGAGGGAGAAGCCATGGAGGAGGAAGGGCCGACGACTCCAGGGGGCTGACCAACGGCGGAGGAGCCTGAGGAGGAGACAGAGAGCCGATGAGCCAGGGCGACGGGGAGGATCTGGAGGGCCAAGGCAGAGCAGATGGCGCCGGCGACTGACGCGGAGGCGTGGATACGAAAGGCTGCGGTGGAGCCGAAGGGATGAAGGAGCCTGACGGAGCCGGAGGGAATTTGTGAGCCTCCGGGTTTAACTTGGGACCAGGAGTCCTCTCAGGGCTGGACGTGGGAACAGGAGCCCTCTCAGGGCTAGACTTGGGGACTGGAGCCCTCTCTGGGCTAAACTCGGGAACTGGAGACCTCCTTGGGCTGGACTTGGGGACTGGAGCCCTCTCTGGGCTAAACTCGGGGACTGGGTATCTCTCTCTTCTGGACTGGGAAACGGGAGCCCACTCAGGGCTAAAGTCGGCTTCCAGTGACGAGGAGGATCCGGAGGGCCAAGGCGTAGCAGATGGCACCGGCGACTGACGCGTCGCCATGGATCCGAAAGGCCACGGAGGAGCTGGAGCGACAGAGGACTGAGGAGGAGCTGAAGGAATGAAGGAGCCTGACGGAGCCGGAGGGACGAAGGGACGAGGCGCAGCTGGAGGAGTGGAGTCCCAAGGCACAGGATGGTCGACTCCAGACCAAGGCGAAGCCAGAGGGATGAGAGAGCCCAGCGGAGCTAGTGGACTTCTCGTGGCGGGCTCTGTTGCCGGCTCTCGCACCTTGACTGACGTCACTTGCAGCTCCAGCTCCGTGGCGATCCGTTGCTCTGTCGCTCCATGCAGCAACGACTCGTCGGCCGCGGCGTGCTCGGGCTCTCCGTCAGCAGTGGGCTCGGGCATGCGCGCCGCGCAGTGGGGAGATGGTGGGCTGGGCACTGGGTCCGTAGTGGCACTGGCGAGATCCCCTTCGGGACAGACAGTGAACGGGGATCCGTGTCTCGCCAATTTCCACTCCACAAAGGCGGCGAAACTCGCTCGAGGGCCT